CGCACGCTTGGGCCAGATGTTTGTGCTTGATCGATGCTGTTTCTTCGTGTTGTTAGTTTGCCCTTTCGCAGACGTTGTGCTTAGTCATGCTGTTCTGTGTTTAGGTTTGCACTCTGCCGAGATGTCGGTGCGTGATCATGCTGTTCTTTGTTTTTAGTTCGGCCACGTGCCAGGGATGTTGTGCTTATCATCCTATGTTTCTTGTTGTTTAAGTTTGCACTTTGCCGATGATTCGTGCTTATGCATGTCGTCTGTTCTTTGCTGTTTTAGTGCACAGCTGGCCAAATGTCGTATCGTGATGTGTGCTGTTTCTTGTGTTTATGTTTGGCACTTGCCCAGATGTCACCACTTGATATGCTCAGTTCTTGTGTTTATATGCACGCGGCTGCCAGATTGTCTGCTGCTTTTGATCAAATCGCTGTTTTTGTTTTTAGCTTCATCGTACTTGTCTTCAGATGTCGCTGCATCTGATCATGCTGTTCTTTGTGGCTTTAGTTCACACGCTACGCAGATGTCGTACTTGATTGTGCTGGTTCTGTGGTCTTAGTTTCGACACTGTCAGCGAGCTCCTGCCAATTTAAAACGTTTCGCATCGGCCGTGTGTGCTGATTCACCGCAACTGCTTCTCACAGACGCCTAGCTGAAGCGACAAGACCAGCCCGAGTCAACTGCGAGCGCTAGAGACAACAAAGATGCCTCCACTGTAGGTAGCTAGCAACTAGTAGCAGCTAGTACTGCCAGTCATAACACTAGCAGCAGCTGTTCACAGTTACGAGACACTAACAGCAGTTAGTTCACCGTTACAGCACTATACAGCAGCTAGTTCACAGTTACAACACTAACAGCAGTTTAGTTTCAGCAGTTCCAAGCACTAACAGGCCAGTTAGTTGCTCAGTTAGACAATCCTAAGTAGCAGACTAGACTATAAGAGTATAACACTATATTGTAGTACTATAGTAACACTATAGAGAGTATATAGACTAGAGTGTAAGGCACTAAGTAGTAGTAGCCTGCATAGTCACAGTTACATGCAGCTAACAGCTGCTAAGTTCAGCAGTTACAACAACTAACAGCAGCTTTAGTTCTACGTTACAACACTAACAGCAGGTTATATCAGCAGTTACAGCACAAACAGCTGCTAGTTCACAGTTACAGCAACTAACAGCCTTGCTAGTTCAGGCAGGCCAGAGTTACAGACACTAACAGGCTGCTAGTTCACAGTTAGCAACACTCAACACAGCTGCTAGTTCACAGTTACATACACTAACAAGCTGTTTGTTCACAGTTAGGCAGCACTCAAAAGGCAGTTAGTTCAGCAGTTAGCAACACTAGACAGCTGTTAGTTCAACAAGTTACAACACTAAGCAGCTGGCTAGCTTCACAGTTTAACAACACTACCAGCTACTAGTTCATCTGTTGACGACACTAACAGCTGATAGTTCACAGTTTACAAGCACTAACAGCTGCTAGTGTCTCAGTTTACAACACTAACAGCAGTTAGGTTCACGAGGTTACAACACTAACAGCAGCTAGTTCACAGTTACCAACACCCTAACAGCTGGCTAGTTCAACGAGTTTACAGCCTAACAGCAGTTAGTTCTTCGGTTACAGCACTAACACTGTAACAGCAAGTTCAGTTCACAGTTTACAATCCTAGCAGCAGCTTATGTTTTAGTGCAGATACTTGCTTGTATAGATTGTAAGTGCATGTTTGCATACGCGATCTATTTGCTACCCCGTGGTCACTAGACTTAAATTGTTCTGACCTGATATTTTTTGTCATGTAGGACGATCTGCCCCACTAGTGCGGAGGATGATCAAGAGGGATGCTGAAGAACATTAGCTGGTAATGTTTAAAATGTTCAACTTCATTAAGCCATTGAATATTGGATTAGTAGTTGTGATTGGTATATTCACAACACATGTGATAAAGGTACTGCTGTGATTGGTTCCTTGGCTCGTTGGATCACATGGTACTGCTGGGCGATTGTTACTGATAACTTAATTTTAATTGATAGGTTGCCATGACGACGAAGACGATGATCGAAACATGACATGCCAGCATTTGCTAAGCGAGGATGCGGATCAATCGAAGACTGGGATCTGATGCAGCCGCTGTGGCATCAGTGAACACACCATTACAGGGGCAACAGCAGCAGCAGCAAGGGGCGATAGAGTGGCATCTCCACGCTAGTGAGGAGCTCGTACTGAATGTACACGGGTGAGCTATCGTGCTGGGCCGCTCTTACTGCAGCAACCTCCCTTGCAAGTGGAACAGAATACTAAGCAAATCATACTATCATCTATGTACATAATATTAGTATACCCGATAGATTGTTACGTGTAATACACTCGCAACTCACGCACACTACATAAAAGCAACACACACATACGCAAAACACAACGCCGCGACACGCACGCACGTACACACACCAAACACACATCACAAACACACACACACACAAAACACGGCACGCACACACAAACGGAGCGCACGCACGCACCACACACACACCAAACCACGCACGCAGCGCACCGCTACGGCACACCCCAGCACACCAACACACCACCAGCGCACACAACACCAGGCGACGCACGACACAAACATGCACACCACGCACACACCACACACACACAGAGAACGCACGGAAGAGAGAAAGAGCGAGAGAAGGACAGCGAGTGTTAGTATATGTTTGCTTACCGTGAGTAACTTTGGCACATGTTTAACAGGAGGGATCCTCGGCGTAAGTGCGAAGGAAGATACACAGGCACATGACTGAGCTCGCGAAGAGCAGTCTGCCCAATGGGAGGAGAGAGATACTTCCGCGTGCTGGAGCAGGAGGTAAAACCTTCTCTTTATACATAGTGTCATACTAGCTATGCATAGACATGGGGCTCAGCAGTAAGACATATGGCTAGGCAGCTAGACATAGGCTAGCACTGTAAGACATAGCTAGCAGCTAGAATTAGTTTAGAGGGTGGATATATGCATTGTACATGTTTGTAACAGTATTCATGATCTTAAAGATAATGCTGAGCACAGTACTGCAAATTCAGTATGTGTTCATGCATTCTTGAAGGTAATTAATGAGTAGCTCTAAACGTACTCCTCACGCCAAGTCTTGTCTGATTTATACATCGTATCATACTAGCTAGCAGTTATGAATTAGCTAGCTTGGTCCAAGGTCAATTGTGATTACGATGAGATTCTTAATAATAAAAGATAAAATAAAATAAAAATAATGATAAAAAGCCAAATTGTGAAATCATAGGAAAAAATAAGCCGTGGAAAATCTACGTAGTGCTTACTGTGGCTATGAGCTTCAAACTTTATAATCTTCAGAATTGCTTTCCACAGGCCCATTTGTGGGTGGTCCAGGAGGACCTACGGCACAGTGCTATTCTTAACTGAGCCACCTGGTGTGATTGACTGTTGCTCTAGCGCCAATTCATGGTTCCAAATGATGATCTAAAAGACAATGCTGACCAACAAAGTAAATGCGAATTCAACGATTCGTCATCATGCTTCGTGAAAAAATGTGGTGAACTTTGACCAACCTGAGCAAGTGGCAATAATATGCTCCAAGTGGGTTCTTCTT